GCTGCCGCGCGCCGCCGCCTCGGAGCCCAGCAGCCGGCAGCAGCCCGCGGCCCAGGGCGGCGAGGAGCCGCGCTACCGGCACTCGGTGCTGCTGCCGCGCAGCCGCTTCCCCGCGCAGCTGCCGGGCCGGCTGCAGCCGCAGACCGAGCTCGAGACGCAGCAGGTCGGGCCGGCGGCGCGGGGCAGAGCGCGGCCACGGGGACRGAGCCCGTGCAGGGAGGAGGCGGGGCCCGTTTGCTGTTGTTRTTATTATTGTTATTGCAACGAAATACTTATTTATTGGTTGCGCTTTGCTCTCTAGTCAGAGTCTGGGTTTTACTTTTTTTTTCCCCCGTTGTCTCCCCAGAAATGCGGCTTTTCCGAGCTGTACTCGTGGCAGCGGCAGAGGAAGGCCAAGCAGGAGTTCTGCCTGCACGACGGGCCGCCCTACGCCAACGGAGACCCGCACGTGGGCCACGCGCTCAACAAGGCAGGTGCCGCRTCCGGACGTGCCCGCCGCGCCCGGCAGCGGCTCCGCGCCCGCTCCCGCCTGCGCTCGGCGCGGTGGGCGCTTCSGGAGGCAGCCCTCTTGGTGCCCCTTCTCCGGGGGCAAGGGAACCGTGCGGCAGGACGTGGTGTCCCTGAGCTGACTGCTCAGTTACGGGGCTGGACGTGGTGCTTCTGGGGAGGAATCTTGAAAATCTAGCGTGCAAATTCATTGCTAGGCAGGGTAAGCGCAGTTTGCGAGTGCACAGAAATCGTGACATGCCCGTGTCTTTATTTATAACTTCATACGTACATGGTACAGTAATATACAATTGAATGGTGAATCGGTGTTAGTTTTTCCTGTGTATATTTTAGAAGTTTGCTATATTACACTTTTTTCTTTTAGTTTTATTTGGCTATCATGAATGCAGAAACAACGGTGAAGTGTTGATGCTTGTTTTCAAAGCACAGGTTTTTGCCTTTGAAATAAGTGTTTTGTATGGATAAATTTTGATTCAGCCCTGAGACCAATAATATTATATGTCCTGCAGAGTAGGAAAGAAGGCTGCCCACACCTACTGATAGGAGCTAATGCAGAAGTGAGAGCTTCTGGAAAACGAAGCTTTTTGTGATGAACACTTTAATGAGACACAGCCAAGTGCGCTGAGCTCCTTACTGACTTCTGTGCACAGATTGGATCCCTTCAAGCCCAGCACACTTATAAACTGCATCTTTCAGTTATTCCAAACATGATTTCCTTTGATCCAGGATCCTTTTTTAAGCTTCTGCCCAGGTGCAAAACAGTGGTCAAAGAGAGAGCATGGCTGCAAGGCTAACGTGCAGTTCATCCCGCTTTCCGTCACGTTTGGCCTCGCACGGAGCTCTTAAGCAATGTATAGCTGTCCCACGTCAGGGAGCTGCAGTGGTAACTGACCCTTGTGTCTTCCCAGATTTTGAAAGACATCACTAACCGCTTCCACATGATGAGAGGCTATAAGGTGCATTACGTGCCAGGGTGGGACTGCCACGGGCTGCCAATTGAGCTGAAGGCGTTATCGGAAGCCAAAGGAACTGCAAATCTTTCACCGATGGAAATCAGACAGAAAGGTAAGCTGTGATTTGGGAAGTTGGCTTCAGTATTTGTTTGTCCTAGTCACCGTATTTTGAATGTTATGATTTATAAATTGTTTTTATGCTTTTTGTGCCTGTTTCCGTTAGGTGTTGGAGACACTTTCTAGCACCTGTTACTGGCACTTTGTTTGCAAAGCAGATGGAGTACAATGTAATCTCATCAAGTGGGATAATTGAACACGTGCTTAAATTGTTGTTGTAATGAGCTTGCATAGTGTTGGCCACAGACTTAAGGAGCAAGAGGAGAGAGGATTTGGACTTTCGCTCAACGATGTGGCAGCATGAAAGCAGCATTTACTAGATCAGCCTGGTTTTGGTGCCTTTGAATTCCAGGCAGACACATTCAACTTAATTACAAACTAAAAAGCAGCGCCCACACAAATCAATGCTATTTCCTTTCTTCAGCTTGAATATCACCACAAAACTGTAGATTTTCAGAGAATGCAATTCTGTGTCAGATGGACACTTTTCAAAAATATTTCAAATACCAAGTGTGCTGAATGACACTAGCCTGCACCTGCAAGCTATTTGTAATATACCTTAATTAATACCTTAATACCTTAATTTTGTTTAAATATTTTGCATTTTGAGAAACTATCTTCATAGCTGGAAATACTTGATTTCTTTTATTCCTGCTGAAAAAATATGCGTGTTCTAGAGGCACATGTGCTGTATGTTCTCGTGTTAGTAAAGAAGTCTCTCTCCTGGCTCTTTCTGCCCTTGCCAGTTATTTTATACAGTTACTACGTATTACTACAGATATATATGAAATACATTTTTGAGCCTAAATAATCTGTTAGTATGCAATTTCACTGTATTCAACCCCAGCTCTTCTCAAAAACGTGATTTCATTTAAAATATGCTATTGATATTAATTATGGTAGGTTAAACCTTATTCTTAATTTTCCAGCCAGAGAATTTGCAGAAAGAGCAATTGAGAAACAGAAATCTGCCTTCATTCGTTGG